AAACGATAAACGAATTTTCAGTCCAGCATTCTGGTGAAAAAGCATTTTAATAAAATGGGCCCAGATACGGCATACAGCAGAATGGAAACGGAAATTGAAATTTCATAAACCGACGTAACTAGTTTGAGATTAAGGCGTAGATGATATTGTTGTACTTGTGAAATTCCTTTAGGAGAAGTGAGGAAAAATGATAGCGAGAACTTCATATAGGAACTCGCCAAGTTTCACTACTGGAACTTCTAGCTAAATCATATATCCGAATTTCTGATATGAGAACCTAACATGAGATTATTAACACGGTCTTAGGGAAGTCCTGCACCATATTATGAACTTGTGCACACCTATCCACTTATTAAATCGATAACACCATTGCAGAGATTTGACCACAGCACCTTTTAGTGACAAAATTAGCCTCACCTAGGTGCAGACTAAGCAGTACAAGACATTGCGTCTACCTGTGACACAAGTGGCTATACAATTGCCTTTGATGATTTTCATAAAGATTCAAACACTATGTTACACATCCATCTTCAAGTAAAACAGAAAACTATTACAAAAGGAAAATACTGAAGCTCTTGAGAAGTAATTCAACCCTATGTTGCTCGGCCAAACAGTTGAAAAAGGGGGATACAGATATGGGAGCAATCACAACAACAAATTAATCGAAATGGACAGCATTATTCAACAAACAGTAGAAAGAACAATAACGAAAATGGACCTTTTTAAAAAAATAATTACAAATATTGTTACACTTCCTGGATATATCATAATCACACAGCTATAAGATAGATCTCAAGCAATCAAAGACAAACAAGCGGAGTAAATTGAACAATACTCAATACATAATATCGAAAATTTAAAGCAGTTGATTTATCGTTCTTAGTAAAATAGTGGAGGACCTGGACAAGTGGGATTGAAGCCAGCCGTGCAGAAACATTATTTGAAGATTTCTCACACTCTCTCCAAAGCAAATTATGAGCGGGCATGTCACCATAGCTGTTTAATTAAGCAAAGAGATATAAGCATCCATTTTATGAACTACAAAACCTTTCATGCCAAACTTAGAAGGTAATCTATTAATTAATCACCTGACTCCAAGCTCAGATAATCTCTGGCAACACCATGCAAAATGGCGACTCTCATCATCAGCCACATGAGCAAAATCAGCAAAGAACCCATCACCCAAAAGGTCACTGTACGGTGAAAAACGGACAACAGTATCCCATGCCAAGTCAATAGCATTTAACTCCACATGAGCAAGATTATGAAGCATATATGCATTGAGAGATAAACCCGAGTGTTTAGGAGATGGAATTTCCTTTGGTGGAACCTGTACACAAGAATCATACACATATAAGCTAAAGTTACAAATTGGCAAAAGAATCACAAGAAAATAAAAACACCAACATCTTAGGTTTTGGTTGAACCCCATTCAATGCCAAGACCTGTAAAGATGTATTGCAAGCAGGTGTACATAAATATAGTGGTATCTAGGATTGGAAACAAGGAAAAAGAATTGAAATATTCATTTCCCTTATCAAAATTAAGGAGAAAGAGAAGATAAACTGTTTGCACTAAACATTCAAGTCTCGAAGCTCAAATGTATGTCAATGGTAAAATTAAAAAGCTACACACACATATGAATCCTCCCTGGTCATGTTACTCCATTTAAACTCATTTCATGCCAATGTTATGAAAATACAAATAATAAGTGTTAGAAATGTTCAATATTTTCTAAATGTATAAATTTCTGAAAGGCTAAACTACTCCTAGAAAGCATCGAACCTACAATGGAAGTGCTAACATGATAAAAATATATTCTACACTAATATGTATCGCCTATATATCGGTCTTTTTCTTACATTGTGTTCCATCTGTCACTAAGTTCGCATGGATCCACGGCAATTGTAGGTCCCGAAGAGAACTTCATTTAAGGTCTAGGCAAATGCCTAGAAATCACATAATTTGTGTCTAGTGGGATTTGAACCCTACACTATAAGGCTATATCAAACCTAGTAACTGTAGGCAGAGGCAGATGTATGAGTATAAATAAGTGGACCCTTCGGGGTGGCCCAGTGATTTGGGCTTGGGACTTCCATGTTGGAGGTCTCAAGTTCGAAACTCCTTGCCAGTGAAAGCAAGGGGTTTGCCTTCTGGATCGAGCTCATCACACCGGGCTTGCCTAGTGCGGGTTACCTCTCCTATGTGGTTTGCGAGCTATTGCATAGGAGCGGGAGTTTTACCCTATGCGCACCCAAAGGGGCTAGGCTGCGGGTTTCCCTTGTCAGAAAAAAAAAAAAATAAGTGGGGGCAAAACTATCATTGAAGCCACTGTTCCTTCATGACAATAGGTGTTAAATTAGTATGTGTACGTGTATATTATGTGTATATGTTAGAATAAGGAGTCCAATTAGTGCGGAATTAGAAACACACCTAAACTATGGCAAAACTTTCAATTACACACCTAAACTAAGTGGGACCCTAAACTTATTTTTTCGTCTTATCTACCTCATTTGCTAATTATCTGATAAAAAAATAAGTTAAAATGTAGAGCGGAAAATCACAGAAGTCACTAGTCTTTTGTGACAATAGGTATGGTTTTGGTAACAACATACATTTCTAAATTTCAAAACTATACAAACGGTCTAAGTCGAAGACTGTAGGACACCCACTCACTGCTAAGAAACTGCATCTGCCTATGCATTTTTGATAAAGTGACTAGCAAAACTCAACTAAAACAATTTATTCAAGTTTAAACATCTTATAAACAACAATCAATGAAAGTAAAGTTCACCTCTTTGCCTATACATCTCTTAAGAAAATAAACATAAAGTGCATACTACATAAACAAGACACTCAACTGCCTCAACCGTCAAGTAAACACTCTAACTTTGAAAATGCACATCTAAGACACCTCAACTTGACCTTAAGTAATAACTAAACACTCCAACTCATCCCCATTGTTTCTCGTGGACACCCGAAGCTAACGTGACATATAAAAGTTAGAGCACCTACTTGCCGGCTGAGACCAAATTTGAGTGTCTGTTTATGTATTATGCCGATATAAAGAGCAAGTAAATTGAACCCACATAAACAAAAAGAAAAAGAAAACTTGGAAGGAAAATGCAGAAAAACAAACCAGTTGAGGTTTGGAGGGTCGAGCAGGTCGAACCGGGGGTTCAAAATTCCCAACAGGGAGACCTTCTTCACGCCACCTACAATAACCCAAATGGGTAAGCTTGGATTTCAATAAAGGGTCACTGGTAGAAAGAACAGCAGCACCCATTTCAGCAAGTGACGAAGCAGACGAAATCGAATCCAACAAAGCTGATTCTTGAATCAAATTTGAGGATTGCGGTACATTATCAGGTCCATTGGGTCCCCAAAATCGGTGGTGGTTAAGGGAACTGTGTCTCCAATTGTGCAGACCCGTCCACTGATTTGGTAATTCTGGGTAATGAATACTACTACTAGAAATGGTGTTTTTTGTAGTAGAAATGGTTTGAAAGGGAGGAGAAAAGAGAGTGAACTTTAGTGTTGAAGGAATTATGGGTCTGAATTTGATAGTATATGCCATTTTTGGATGAAATTTGTGGTTTCCCGGTAAGAAAGGCTCTGTTTGTTCTTGTCGACTGTATAAGAATAAGCAAATATAATAGCAGCGGCCGCTGTAAGGGCTGTGGTGGAGCTGTAATCTTTCATCCTCAATCAATGTTAAGTACAAAGTCATGTTTGTTAAGAAGTATTTTCATACAAATTCAAATTTAATCGAGCTCGAAAATTAAAAAAATATACATAACAATAGTATATTTTGCAAACCTGTAAAGTTAGTTTTTCTATTATCGTCTTTCAATTAAGAAAAGACAACAATGGATAGTTTGAAGTGTATGTTAATGAATTAATCATAATTCCGATTAAAAATTTGTACAAATGATAATTTAGCATAGAAATTTGAAAATTTAAAATAATTTAAATGTGTTTTTGATATTTTACTCTTTTTATATTAACGTACACTCTAATGTTTCATATCAACTTTTGCAATGATTAAAGTGAATATAGATGAGCTTTTCTTTAATATAGAGCTGGTCAGATATTTTTTTCTCAATCCATAATAGGTGTTTAGGTCAATTTACCATCAAGGCATGTTTTTTAGAGTGATAGTTGAGATATGAATCTAATAAAAATGCGATAATTTTGATAGATAAATAAAAGCATGGATAGTTGAAACATGAAATTATAAAAAGGTGATAGCTTCCATGTTTTTACTATTAACTCTAATAGTTCAATATTTATGTTTAACTAATTAATTTAAAATGTATTGTTCAATAAGCACAATTAATATTTGACTAAATTTTTTTAAATGCTTCTAAATATATATTTTTAAAAGTATTTTTGAGGAAAACGTATTTTTTTCAACTTCTAAAAAATAGCAAAAAATCATAGAAAATATATCGTGACTATATAATATAGTTTGTCAAAAGTCATAGAAAAATATCACGGACTATACAATATAGCTACCTATACATGAGTTACTATACATTATAATACACTCAAAAAGTTGAATAGATCTTGTAAAAGATATGTTACCATACTAATTGATTTAACTATACATGAAATATACACCAACTATTCAATCTCAATCAACTCAAAATCACCTCTAAACAGTCCCAAAATTTAGATATGAAATTCTCTCGATGTTTCGATTCTTTAAAGAAACGATTCATATTTACAATATGTCAATTTTTTTTAAAAAGAACAAGAGAGAAGACGAATAGCCATTGGTTAAACAAACTGCACACAATGTAGGGTTAGAACTCATCCGTATCTACCGTTTACACCAACATATTGATTTAGGGTAAAAACTTATATGTACCCTGTGTTTACACAAACACATATCATGCATTCATTAATTTAGCGTAAACAATCTGTGCATGTAAGTTTTACCCAACACATGTTATGCATTAATAGGGAAACAATTATTCATTGAAACATACTAGAAGTTAGATAATTGTCCTAATTAATTTATTACGTCACTGAAGCATAGGATATATATACACAGAGCACCTAAAACTAGTACAAGTTAGGAAGAGATAAAAAAAAGTTGCACCACATTCAAGTGATTCAATCACTCACTGAGTACACAGGTCCATGTGACCTAAACAATGACTTCAAACTGCACAAATCAGTACTCCATAAGCAAAATATACATAAGCTGCTGCAAACTAGATGCTACTATTATACAAATTGAGACCAGTCACTAGCATATGCCACAACCATCTGCAGCAGCACCCTCTTGATTGAAGGACCACATACGCATGATCGCGATTTTGAAATCTGCAAACAAACTTAGGAAATATTAGCGACTTGAGTTCGAGTTCAAGTTCAAGCATATGACTTAGAGAGCAATATTAATGATCAGTTTTACAATGGACTGGATAGCATGGATAAGATTAATTCAGCAGAAAAGATAGCTACCAACTCTAGTTCTGGCAAACTTGTATCAATCCACACAGAGTAAGATATATTGCTTAATTTTATGTTGCTCAGACTCTCCAAAAATGCTACCACACCCATGTCGGATACTCAAAAAAATGCACCAGAGAACATTTTTGAAGAGTTTGAGCAACATAGGTCTAATTTGTTTCTGCATCACTCGATCAGAAAATTCATTTTCAAAAGTTAAATTCAACTAAAGAGTAGATATCTCTGATGTTAAATGTTTGGTCTTTCACCAGACAACCCTGATAGAGCAACAAGACTATGGGATGCTCAAGATCTTTTTTCCAGGATATTGGGAGCTCAAAAACTTCACCCAAAAGGATATCATAGCGGTTCAACAGAATACCAACCATTTTCGTCAATCATGTTACGCAACTATGATGTACAGACCTCTACAATTTCACATATGTGAAACTTCCATCATTCGTGTTACCAACACCGGGCTATAATTGCATTACCTTCAGGATGTAAGTGAATTCATATTAAGGTCCCTCTCTGGGATACATATATTTACCCCTACATAAAATGGCATAAAATCATGCCAACGAGACTCAAAATACAATCATCTATCATATATGCAGTTTCTATATCATTTGCCAAGTTAGTGTTATCGATACTACCTTAACCTCCAGCGATCATACATTCTAAATAATTAGAAAGAAAAAAGATACTCACCAACCACAAGACCATAATGTTAAGCTGCACTATTCTATGTCCAGCATTCTTTATTTCTCTGATTGACTGCTAACCTTTAGGAATTTAAGGGTGCCTTGAACTCCGGTAAACCATCCATTCCATGTAATTCACAAGATCAATCAATAAGTATAACTCGATCCTAAACTAATTGGGGTTTTAACTATATGAATCCACTATCATTCCATTCTTTTAAATTGTAGCCTCTGTATCAATCTACTCTTTTCCAGTTCATCCTATTCCAATACTAAAAAAAATTGTCTTTTAAAACATTTGGTTGGTCTCTAGTCTCCTACAACAAGTACTCTATATTCAAACAAACACCGAATCGAATATAAGTGTAACAACAACTAATTCCTAATCCAGCCAGCTGGTATTACCTATATGGTACCTTTGCATTTTGTTACTTAAGTCGGCATAGAGTTCGAGACAACATACCTGAACGTGATCTTAGATCTACCCTTTAGCTCCTTCAGTCATCATACCACCACACGACATCGGTATGTATACAAACGATATGGTCAAATCATCTCAAGTGATATTTTTTCATTTTCCTTGAAAATCTAGCTAGCATTTTCACGAATTCATCGGTTCAGGTAGACCTTTCTCTTTATCTCATTGAAAATAATTATTTTAGAAACATTGTGATATTATTTTACATTCTTCATCATAAAATATGTAATTAAACTACACTTAAATACTTGACAAAATTGAAAAATGATCGGTGTGTGTTATTCAACTCATATAAACTAATTATTATATTGTGTTGTCAATGCATTAGGAAATAAATTTTCCTAACGGAAAAGGGTCATATTTGCCCCTGTACTCTCAAGAAAGGGTCATAGTTGTCCTTCGTTATATTTTTTTGATATATTTGCCCTTGTCATCCAACTTTAAGGCCATATATCCTTCATCTGTTAAATCCCCATATTCCCACATAAAATAACCTATGTGGCGCCTGGTGGATTTTATTTTTCCCTAATTAAATCTAATCTCTATCATTTTAACCCACCCCACACAATTAAGCCCGATCTACTACCAAAATAAACCTAAAAGCAGGTCGTTGAGTGTCCATGGATCTGGTGTGACGGAGCAGGAGACTAGCGTGGGTTTCCATTTATGTTTTCTGGTGGCTTTATGAGATGGGTCAATGGAGTTGAGCAGAGGAGTGAATATTGCAGAGCTTTTATTGATTGATTTGGAAAATCTGAGAGGACTAGAAAACATACCAGGCTGTGTAGGAGAGGTCAGAGTTCAGCGGGCAACGGATCAAATCACCTCGTATTGTCAAGCCCAAGCAAGTTTGCTTAGAAGCTGATCTGAAGCACTAAACTACCCAAATCAGTTAGGTCCCCTCTATACCCCCTCTCTGGTTACTCGCATCATCATTCCCAACTATTGGTTGAATTGGGATCTAGCCAGCAAGCAGTTCCTCTGTGATAACACATTCTTTCCACTGCCCATATTCATCTTTATTCCACTACTATAGACTTTGAATTCTGTTCTCTCCAATTGCCCAAGTTCGCCCATCATGTTCACAACCAAAAACTACATCTATTTTTGAATAAAATGCTTAACCAATTTTGTGTGTCAAGATTAGAGATGAAAGTTGGCTCTAATATACTTAACAAAAGACGTTGAATTGAATGTTAAAATCTATTTCTGTTTTTAATCTGATTGTTGTCTGATATGAAAGAGGAGATATATAATTTTCTCTGTTTATTTGTATAGAAACGCTTGTGTAGAGAAAATTTAAGCAGGAAGCAAGTTGGATTTATTTTGGTTAGTGGATCGGATCTAATCGTATAGAATAGGTTAAATTAATTAAGAAAAAATTAAAATCCATGAGTGCCACATTAGTAATTTTGTGAGAATATGGGGATTTAATGGATGGAGGGTAAATGTGGCCTTAAAGTTGGATGACAAGGGTAAATATATCAAAAAAGTATAACGAAAGCCAACTATGACCCTTTTCCCTTTTCCTAATATGTTAAATCCTCTCTTTTTGGCTCAAACCATTCTTTTGAATCTATATTTGATATTCTCTGGTATGTTGTTGTTGTTGAATGTATATTTAATATTACTTCCTCTGTCCCAATTTATGTAATGACGTTTGACTGGTTACAAAGTTCAAGAAAGAAAAGAAAACTTTTGAAATTTGTGGTCTAAAATAAACCATAGATATTTGTATGACTATGAATCATCTCATAAAGGTAAAATGAACATTTTAAAGTTAAATTATCACTAAATACAAAAGGTGGCGTCAGTTTCAAAAAAGATAAAACTAACACAGTTTCAAAAAAAATATAAAATGTGTCATTTTTTTGAGACAGACTTAAAAAGGCAAGAGTGTCACATTTATTGGGACGCAAGGAGTAATATGTAAATATATATAAATACCTTTTCTGATATTATAAAGGAATTTGTAAATAAACTACACCTAGAGACTGGGCAAACTTGAAGGATGATGGTCTGTGTGTTGTTCAACTCATTTGAACTAATTATTGTACAATCTGGGGTCTATGCATAAGTTGATAAATTTTCTTAATATGTTCAATCATACTTCATTGTACAGGTTCAAGTCTAAATTCATACTGCATTTGTATTCTATATTCTATACACTTCTATTAACAGGTGCAAATAAAACATGCAACACATGTACGTGCCAAAACTAGTAAGATATATAAATATGGGTTCAAGAGAATATCTAATGTAAGGCAATATATACGAGAAACTCCTCTATATTTCTTCCAACTTTCTAAGTCAGCTTCTATTATTCTAGAGATTTTTAAGCAAATCATGATTGGTATCACCCAAAAAATTGAATATCTCAAATCTTCTCATCTTGCTAACATGGCACTCCTTGATACATGTCCTTTTTGACGTTTAAACATTTTATTTGAACTTTATTATTCTTGAGCACCCACCAAAAGATTTTTCGACATTATACTTTCTCAACATCAATGAATATTCCATTGGAGATAACTTTTCCTCACCCTTCACCTTTCCATCAATCATTTTTTTTGATGACAAGGGAAACCCGCAGCCGCTACCCTTTGGGTGCGCACAGGGTAAAACCCAAGCTCCTATGCAATAGCTTGCAAACCACATAGAAGAGGTAACCCATACTAGGCAAGCCCGGTGCAACAAGCTCGACCCAAAAGGCAAGCCCCTTGCTTTCGCTGGCAAGGGGTTTCAAACTTGAGACCTCCAACATGGAAGTCCCAAGCCCAAACCACTGGGCCATCACGATGGGTACCTTTCCATCAATCATTTATAGCAAAAGTTATAGCTTTTGTTATAAATCTATCAGGAATAAACCTAAAATGTGCCTCTATCTCCCTTGTAATATCCCTATATTATGCTCTATCACTCTTTTAAAAAATTTCATTGTATGCTTTATAAGTTCTATGCCACGATTTTTTGCAAATCCTTAAAGTTTGGAAACAATAGACTTAAGCAGCACATTCCTGTGTTTGGCATTTTGTAGAATTTAAAGGTGCCTATCACCGAAAAACTTTAAAACAAAGAATGAAATATAAATCACGATTATAAAGGCATTTGGATTATTCAAATTAGTATCAGTAAATAGAACCTTAGTTGGACAGCTGCTGCACTAATGGCGGCAAGTCAAAAGATTTTAGTTAGCATCGACCGAGGAAACACAACAACAACAACATAACCAGTGGAAACAGAGTCCAGTATTTACCACAAGACATTAAATAAGAGAACATTGTATCTGGACAACAGAGTCAACTTTTTGGTGAATGTTCTGCATCAGATGCACCTCCTGAGGAGCTCTCACTATCAGAATCTGCAATTGACATGAAACAATTATAGAGAAAAGTAAAATATCCAATCTTGACACCCCAAACCCCCACCCCCCAACACACACACACACAAAAGCAAAAGGCAAATCAAAACAAAAATCAGAGAGAAAGAAAAAAGTAAAATTACCACTTGATGATGACACAGAGTCAGTGCTAGAGCTGCCTGGTTGACTAATATTTTTCCCCTGATTTTCTAGTTGAGCAAGATTGGAGGAAGTACCTTTCTCTTCTGCCAGCACATATAACTGAGTCAATAATTCTCTCCAAAATAGATATTTGGGTTACCATACCTAAGAGTTGGCAAATCTCACAATTTAAAAACTTACCTGCTTTGCTTTCTTTTGGAATTTCTACCACAACTGGGTTAGCATTCTGCAAAATAGCAAGGAGAGCATAAAACATGAAACAAAAGAATATTACCCAAACAGGAAAAAAAAGAGGATTAGATCAGAAAAAATAATGCTCAATAATTTACCTTCTCCTGAACATTCTGTTCGGTTTCTTTTTTTTCTTGATCTGCAAGTTCAGTTTTTCTTTTGTTCTTGCTCAAGCTCTTTTTGTAATAGATAACAAACCTGTCAAGCTCCCATAGGGTCTCAGTATCAACACTGTCAATATCCACTTCAATCTCATCATCCTGTTGGCAAAGAGATGAATTCCTCTTTTTGATGATCTGTACAACATTTTCAAGCTTTTCAGATGGCAAATTCTGTAGGCTTGTGCTAAGCTTTTGCTTTTCATCATATGTCATCTCCCTTTTATTGGGATCCTTTGCTTTCGGCTTCTTTGGTGCAGGGGTCCTTCCAGATTGGGAGACAGCGACAGATTTAGTCTTGGAACCAACAGGTCTGGTCATTGATTCTGATCTGTCTAAAGTCTTCCTCATTCCAGAGGGCCGCAATGGTGGAGGTTTCTTAGATGTAGGAGTCTGCAAACTCACCTCAGAGTCCATTGACAATCTCAACTCGCGCATATAATCAGCCTCTATAGTGGGCCATTTCTCCTCAAATATCTTGGAAAGTTGCTCAGCCATCATATAAACATCTTGGCCCTTTGGGTTATACGTCATGGCATTTTGAAATGTTAGTCTCACATCCTCAGCAAATTCTTTATGAGACTTGTACAGATTAGTCTCAAGCCTGGACTTCACAGTTCCCAGGTCCATTGGATTCTTAATAATGTCAAAATAGTCATGTAAACCAAGACCTTCTGTATCAACAGGCTGGTTAAACACCCAACCATGCTTGTGCTTCATCAATCTTTCAAGCAAAGCACGACAATTCTTTAGCATTTGATTTGAGAACTTCCCTAGCTCAATACCAGGTCCTGATTCTGGCCCACTCACTTTCTTTGCATTTGATTTCGACTTCTTGTTGCTTTCAGCTGGGGGAATCTTGTCCTTGGCTAATAAAAATTCTGAGTTCCTATAAAATTGGTTTACCTTTGGTGTCCTCTTCTCTTTCTCCACATTCTCACCCACACCATGGCTGTTCTCCAAAACCGATACACTTAACTGATTCAAAGGCCTGGACTCAAGATGTTGCCCCATTTTTGACACGTCTGAATGTACCCGTTGCACCCCACTATCCTTATCAATTCCAGGGCCAGTCTTCTGTACATTTTTTGCCTCAATCTTCTTCACCAAACTCCTAACCAAGTCCAATTCATTCTGCAGCTTTCTTCTTAGCTCTCTCATCTCCCGCTTGGACTTGAACGTTAAATTGATTCTAGCACTATTTTCTTGACCACTACCTGCGAATATTCCAGTATTCTCCAATGTTAGCGCACGATTCAGACTCGAAGAGCCTTCTGAAGCCGCTTCTAAGTGCAAACCAACTATTTTTCGAGATGAATTGACGTCTTCCATACCTAGGATTTCAGAATGCGGATGTTGTAAGCCATCACCTATGTTATTTAACCCTTTAAACGACTTCCGTCTGTACACTTTGCTTTCAGTCATATTCTGCTGCTCTTCCGATCCTCCATTTTCACCATTCATCATTGTCCCTGAAGTCATACATTCAACAACAAAACCCTAACACATAGTTCAAAAAAGCAATTACATAAATATATGTTAATATCTCTTGCTTTTCAACAAAACTTAACTCCTACCGATAAAAGAAAAACACTGAATTTCCTCTCAAGTAAGCTAATCTTACAACAAATAACACGTAGAAGCACACACTAGTACATGTACAGTGATAGAAACCCTAAGCAAACAGTCCTTAAGCAGAAACAATTTCATAGCTCAAATATACTGCTCAAACAACAAAAAACAAATCATTACACACTCGCAAGCTGAGCATAAGCCGTAAATACTCATGGATGCAAAAAAGGTTAGCATTTATGTAAATTATTGAATCAAATTATGGAGATTTAGGGTTTAAACTAAGAACACAATAACGAACACATACCTTTAGTAGATCTTCACATACACACACAGAGTTTCTCTCTCTCTATCTATCAATCAGCTGCTCAGTCTCTCTCTCTACGATTGAGCTGTTTACTGCAAATCGCTCTTTGTTTTTTTCCAAATATCGGAGAAGAATAGTGGTCGGTAAGTGGAGGAGAGGAGGGAGAAATGCGAGTCGCGTGCTGGCCACGACGGTATTGACGGCTAGGATTTTGTCATCGCGAAGAAGGTCAGAGATCGACGGCGTGGATTTCGGGTTGATCGGAGCGTCGACATTGTCTTGGTGTTTGCAGATGTTATCCACGCGTTGAGGGTGGCGCGTGGGAAGTGTTTGGTTCTGTAGAGTTAGAAAGGTTATTGGGCCCAAAGTTCAAATAGTAACTCTTTCGTTGGAGGCAAGTGCACATATAGCCACTTTAAGAACCCCTATTTAAGATATAGCCAAACTGTTAATAGGTAATTTTGTATATGATACATATATATTATTTTGACATCACTCATCGTATTGGAGCTCGATGGATAAAATGAAGACTTGCATTTAGTATTTTGTGTGATAAATATGCTATCAAGATTTAAAGGCAAGTTGAATAATTTGAATTTTCTTTTTGAAGAAAAAAAATGAAACTGAAAGTAATAAATTGTTTGTGCATGTATGCTGTTTAATTTATGAAAGAAAAAATTCCATTTTCATAAGCTTGCTCTTATGAGTGATCTTTCGTATTTATTGAGAAAACATAAAACAAACTTAATAATAAAACGACTAGAAAGAATAGATAGTGGACGAAGTGGTCAATTCATACATATTTACATAGATGCGGTGATAAATTCCGGATCCACCATGAGTTTGCATATTCGATAAAATCCAATATTTTATGATTGGACTCGATATATTTGTGTAAGAAACAAATAAAAATAGAGTTAGATATACATTTCCAAATCCACTCCTACTCAAATTAAACTTAAAAATACATAGCATAAATACGGTAATAATAAAATAGTGCTTAATTAAACTTAGTTTAATCATACACATAAAAAAAAACAATTTCTAAACTATTACTATCTTATTGTTCGAACTATGTATGATTGAACAATTTCAAAACTATTATTTACGTTGAGTTCTTACAAATTGTCACAAAATAATAATGGAATAATTCATACCTACCTACTTAGATGCAGTGACATATCCAAGTATGTATTTGTGAATTTAATAGAACCCAGTATTTTATAGTTGAACTTGATATACTTGTACTTATTCAAAAGAAATTGTTAGGAAACTTTTATCTCTTCAATTATTTCCAAAGACAAACTTAAATCGGGAAGTAATTTTTGTGCACTACTTCAGAAAAGACGTATCATAAGTCATTTTCAGTCTTCTCACCCTTTACTTGAAAAAAAAAGGGAAACATAGTGCATGTTGTAAGAGTGAATTAGATTTGCATTTCAAAATCCGCTTGCTCAGTTCAAATTCTATAACGTCTAAATTTTGAATTCATCAATCAATATAAATACTTTAATTACTTTTGGTATAGTGGCATTTATATATTATGTTATTAAATAAAAGATAGTGAAATATCATTCTCTATGTTTGAAGGGCTAACCCATCGGTGACCCCTTAAATTTGGCACGAAGTTTCACTTAGGCACCTTAAGTGAGCGATGTTCATTTTAGACACCTCTGCAGGGTCTCGATGTGTCATTTTGACACTTTTTGCTTACATGGCTTAGAGAGTGTAATACACTTGTTGAGCGCGCGTGAAAAACCTATTTAGTCGATTTTTTAATTATTTTTTTCTTCTTCTTTCCCATTTTCAGTCACCATTTTTGCAAACTTAACTATCCAACATCAAAGGATTCAACCTAACCCTTGTCGTAGTGTGGGTGATGCCCTTGAGGGGTGGAAAGACAGAGTCAAAGTCTCCCTTGATCTCCAGGAGAGTGAAGCTCCAGATGATTTGGCTGCTGAAAATGCAAATGAATATTCATATACTGCTGAATTTGAAAAGGGAACAGCTCAAGCACTTGGGCCAGCAACAGCTGATCAAGTAGACAAAAATGTACAATTAGGGATGGGGTGGGGTGGGGTGGGGGGCGGGGAGGGGGCAGGTGTTTCTCCAAAATGGGTATGGGTTTTTGGAGAAGACAATTGGGGTGGGGTGAGGTGGGGGGGGGGGGGGGGGGGGCGGGGAGGGGGGCAGGAGTTTCTGCAAATGGGTATGGATTTTTGGAGAAGACAATTGGGGGTGGGGTGGGGTGGGGTGGGGGGCAGGGAGGGGGGCAGGTGTTTCTCCAAATAGGTATGGGTTTTTGGAGAAGACAATTGGGGGGGGGGGGGTGGGGTGGGGTGGGGGGGGGGTCATGTGGGGATTTTATTGATTTAATTTGTTTTAAAAAAATTATTTGGCAAAAATCCACGTGTCATTGAGTCATTGGTTACTTTATATTTTTACTCAAAATTCATTATCTACAAATTGTTTTTGACAAATGTCGTCATTTAATTCGCCACTTTACACGTCATTCGCGAGTGTAATACACACACTTCATATATTTTTGTTGATTGGCAAAAAAGTGTCAAAATGACACAGCGAGACCCTACATGAGGTGTCTAAAATGAACATCGCCCACTTAAGGTGTCTAAGTGAAATTTCGTGCCAAATTTAAGGGGCCACCGATGGGTTACCCCATGTTTGAAATATGAATGCAAGTTGTCAAGAGGACATTGACATATTTTGACAATTCTTTCCATCAATCCTTTCTCCATTGACACTCTAATTAGTTTGATGTCCTTTTGTCAACTGTGTAATCAAATTTTTCACTAAGGGCCTTCAAAATATAAAGAAGTAGATAGGGGGATTTCAACATCTACAATATTTACAACAACAACGAAGACTATACATATATATAGTATAATTTTCCATTGAAGGAGGTTCAGTTAAACACTTTCGCTCTCAGCGAGCTCAGACCCTACCTCTAATTAACTATATCTTCTCGACCCATGTTCTCTATTGAAAAAAAAAATATTATAAGGCGATCGAGTTCATCTATAAGTGATGCTAGTTAGCTGGTTAATCTATTAAGAAACTTAATTTCACTTAAATTCTAAAGTGATTGTCTACACCATTATTGGTAGAGAAAATGGTCAAATGAGTCATTAACCTATTACCGGATTTCCAACTACACATTTATACTTCATGGGGTCCTATTACCCTCTAAACTATTTAAAATTGAAATTATTACCTCCCTAAAAAGTCACAGCCACATTTATGTGGATCGGTGAAATCCACACATTTGACACATGTAATTTTTTATTATTTTTTTATTTTCTTACCTTTTTGACTGATAATCCTTTCCTTTTTTGTTTCCTTTCTCTTCCTCCTTTTTCTTTAAATCCTTGAACACATCAATGCCACTTTTTCTTCCCTTTTTAAATTCTTTTTTGTCAAATCTAAAACTATTATTAAATTTATGGTTATGAAATAGGTGCATAAATGATAAGATTTATTGTCAATTTAATTGACCTAAAAAATAAATTGTCCGTCAAAATCTTTTCCGGTGAGGATATTTTGAGAACATTTTTTTTAGAGATTTCCATCATTATTAAGTTATTTGAATGGATTTTGTTAACTGAAAAGGCTTGTTACAATAGCTTCAAGATGATATTTCAATGGTGTTTTAATGGTTAATAGTTGCTTTTGAAAATGGGTGTAAAATAATTTCTTAATAGTATTTGATTGTGTGAAGAGTGGGAAGGAGACACTACTAAAAAAACAGTGAATACCGACCTAAAAATTTCCGACCTCAAATGGAGGTCGGTAATTTTCGACCTCCGGAGGTCGGTATTTACAAGTAGTCGGTTTTTATGCAAAATAAAGCGGGAAAACCAAATTTCGACCTCCGGAGGTCGGAATTTTTCCCGGAAAAAATGAATTACAATAAAAATATCGACCTCATGAGGTCGGTATTTTTTATATTTAATTGAGAAAATAATACCGACATCAAGAGGTCAATTTTTATTGTAATTCATTAAAAATTCCGACCTCAGGAGGTCGGAATTTTTTCTCAATTAAATATTTTATAATTCTGACTTCCGAATGTCGGTAGTATGTAATTAAAATACCGACCTCATGAGGTCGGTATTTTTATTTCATCTAATTACTATTAATTAAAGCGACATTCGGAGGTCGGTATTTTTATTTCATCTAATTACTATTAATTAAAGCGACATCCGAAGGTCGGTATTTTTATTTCATCTAATTACTTTTAAAAGCGACATCCGGAGGTCGGTTTGCGGAAAGCGGGAAAACCAAATTCCGACCTCTGGAGGTCGGAAATTTTCTCGGAAAAAATGAATTACAATAAAAACCGACCTCTTGATGTCGGTATTAAAAAAATAAATAAATGACAATATTTTATTTTTTCTCAATAGGTTTTGTGTAAAATAAAAAACAAAAAAAATTATAATACCGACTTCCGTATGTCGGTAAAATTAAATAGTAAAAATAAATTAATATAAAATACCGACCTCATGAGGTCGGTATTTTTTATATTTAATTGAGAAAATAATACCGACATCAAGAGGTCGGTTTTTATTGTAATTCATTAAAAATTCCGACCTCCTGAGGTCGGAATTTTTTCTCAATTAAATATTTCATAATACCAACTTTCGAATGTCGGTAAAAATTAAATAGTATGTAATTAAAATACCGACCTCATGAGGTCGGTATTTTTATTTCGACTATTAATTAAAGCGACATCCGGAGATCGGTATTTTTATTTCATCTAATTACTTTTAAAAGCAACATCCGGAGGTCGGTTTGCGATTTGCGGGTAAACCAAATTCCGACCTCAAGAAGTCGGAATTTTTCCCAGAAAATGAATTACAATAAAAACCGACCTCTTGATGTCGGTATTATTTTCTATTTTGATTTAATTTTATTTAAATCATTTTCCGGAGGACCATTTTGTGTTCTTAAAATTTAATGTGATACATATATATATATATATAAATATATATATATATATATATATATATATGTTTAATTAATAAAATCAACCTCAAGAGGTGAGTTTATATTAAAATAATTATGTATATATATATGTGTGTGTGTATATATATATATATATATATATATGTTTAATTAATAAAAGCAACCTCAAGAAGGTGAGTTTATATTAAAATAATTATGTATATATATGTGTGTGTGTATATATATATATATATATATATATATATATATATATATAATTTCACGACACATCAACAGAAGTTTAATTTAATAAATTTACATATATATATATATATATATATATATATATATATATATATACACATAGATGTATATATATGTATGTATACATATACATATATTATATGTTGATGTGTAGTTAAATTATATATGTTTAATTAATAAAATCAACCTCAAGAGGTGAGTTTATATTAAAATAATTATATATATATATAGATATTTTTTTTTCTAGAATGATAAAATAGGGATATTCTATATTAAAATAGGGAGCATAGTTTTCTTTTCTTTTTATCGTTCTGTATCTTGCATTACTTCTATATTATTCTATATATATATGTTTAATTAATAAAATCAACCTCAAGAGGTGAGTTTATATTAAAATAATTATATATATATATATATATATATATATATATATATATATGTTTAATTAATAAAATCAACCTCAAGAGGTGAGTTTATATTAAAATAATTATATATATATATATATATATATGTTTAATTAATAAAATCAACCTCAAGAGGCGAGTTTATATTAAAATAATTATATATATATATATGTTTAATTAATAAAATCAACCTCAAGAGGTGAGTTTATATATATATATATATATATATATATATATATTTAAATTTAATAAATTTAAACTTCTGTTGATATGTAGTTATATATGTATATATATGTATGTATACATATATATATACATATATTTAAATTTATTAAATTAAACTTCTGTTGATATGTAGTTAAATTATATATATATATATATATATATATATATATATATATATATATATATATATATATATATAAAATCAACCTCTAGAGGTGAATTTATATTAAAATAAATTAATAAATACCAACCTAAAGAGGTCGGTATATTTAAATTATTATTTTATTTAAATAATATCGACTTGATGATGCCAGTATTTATTAAATATTTTTAAATATAGATAATTATTTTAAAAAATATCGACATCCCATGATCGGTAAATTAAAGAATTCTCTTAAAAAAAGAATGACAATATAAGTCTTACTCCTAAACACTAACTCTCAAAACCTAAGTCCACTTTCACTCCCCACTCCAGACCCACCCCCGACCCACCCCCATCAGCGCCGATCCCCACCCATCCCCGACCGGCGCCACGCCGCCATCCCCGACCGCAGCCACCCACCTTCGCAGCAGCAGAGGACGTCGCGGCAGCTGCAGAGGAAGTCACGCCCAGCAGCAGGAGGTCGCGCGCCTCCATCCCGACCGGCGCCACCTCCATTCCGACCGGCGCCGCCTCCATCTCGACCAGCACCTACATCCCCGACCTTCTTAGTGAAGGTGAATTTTTAGAACCTCCATAATAGATTACTTTTGTTTCTATTTAGTTGAAGTATCTCAAAATTAGAGTACTAATATACTTAGTTTTATTGATTGTTAGTTTGATTGATTGTTAGTTAGTACGTGAATGATTTAGGGTTTTTGATTGTTAGTTTGAATTAGGTATTATTTGATTGTTAGTTTGTGTTTGTTGATTGTGAATTGAAAATTTTAATGTTAGGGTTAGTTTGAATTAGGGTATCTTAGGATTTGTTTGAAATTCGGTATTTCTTAAGTTAATTAGTTTGATTTTGGAATTGTAAGATTAGATTGAATTAGGGTATTTAAGGAGTTGTTTGAACTTGGGTATTATTTGAGTTAGTTTGAATTATTATTGAGATTTTAGGACTAATAGTTTGAATTTGGGATTAGGAATAGCTAGCTAATTTGAATTTAGGATTTTAGTACTAGTTAGATTTTGGGATTTTAGGGCTAGTTTGAATTTGTGATTTTAAGCTTAGTTTGAATTTGGAATTTAGGACTAATAGTTTGAATTATATTTGATATTTTAGGACTAATTTAATAGTTTGAAGTTGGGAC